CCTTTTAGGGGGACGGCAGGGGGGAGGGGGCTAAAAAGAACGACACTTGCGATTTAATTAAATCATGAAATATGACCCGACCCCGTCGGCAATTAAGTGCCCGTACCTCTCCACCCCACCGACCCCCAACCCCCCACCTTCTTCGAAGAACTTACCGATAGCAATTTACCCTTCCGCCTCGCGCACGTCGCGGCCACTTATCCCGGGACGTCTTATTCGGTGGTTGTCGCACATGTCGCCGCTGCCAGGATTGCAGTTCATACCGGTGGGGTTCACACACTCGGTGGGATTTAATTAACAAGCGCGAGCTTTGATATATATATATATCGAGCGTCGCGTTTGAACGCGCCTCAGAGATTCCCGCACAGAAAATTTCTCGAGACTTAATTAGGATCTAATTCGATTTCCCAAAATGATTATGGATTCTGATCAGAAGTGTAATGCTTTAAACATGCGATATCAAGTGGGAAACACAAACAGATTCCATTCCGCCGTCCCGATATGTTCCCAAAGATTTTTTCCGTTCAAACCTTGCTCGTAAAAACATTAGGTGAAAAATAGTATACGTAGTGGTAGTGGTCAGATGCACATAAGTCAGCACAACACCCTTTATTTTGACCTAACCTAATCTTTAACGTTTACTCAGATTCATCAGAATTTGTCCATCACGTGCGCACAGTGTCTATAGATTTTTCATAAATGTAAAAATTATTATGTAAAAAAAATAGTGACGAAATTTCATATGTTACTTTTTCATTGTTACATTTTCGATATGTCCGACGGTTCAGCGCAATCTTTTAGCGAAGCATTGTCGTAATAATATTCAAGTTAAATTACGAAATTAATGAAGTTTCAAATTAGATGTGCTTGATATTACTGACGTTAATATTTACTGATTAAAGCATCACTACGCAGAGTATTGCACTGATATCTCGTGTGTCGTGGGTGTAAACTAACTCAACTGGAACCCATCATTATTTTGGGAAATCGGACAGGATCTCAATTAGATCCTGAGATATTTTCTGTGCGAGAAACAGAAAACACGTGTTTGGGATAAGAATGGAATTCCCAATTGGTATCGCAGTCGGATAACCTATTTTGGGACAACTTTGAGTATTCTAATCGGAATCTATGCTGTAAGTGGGAAAGTTTGGGAAACTATGCGGATCCGTCTCGTCACGCGCGATCGACACACTTTGGAGAAACGAATCGCTAGCTAATTGGATCGCGCACTTAAACCTGTAAGTGACTTTCCTCATCTTTTATCGTAACTATCCGCTTTTCTCTCTCCCAAGTATCAACATCTTCATCGTCGATTCTCGGATTGCGAGACGACACAGCGGAGAGACCGACTTTTCGTCGTACGTCGCATGATCCGTCGTCACATTATCGCGGTTCAACTCGCAAATCGTCAATTACGTCCAGCCACGCTAAAAAGTCACTTTTAGAGTGACTTTCGTCAAATTCTAATTCGACTAATTGACGAGTAATCAGCAGAATTTCTAACGTCAATTTCTGGCCCCGTGATTTACCATCCAATAATTATCAGGAAAATCACAATTTATAATTTCATTATTCCGAGCAGTTAATACTTGACTGATAGTAATTTCATACCGTCAATCAGTTAGTTTGGTGATAATTAGCCTAACTTTACTGATATGAACCACATTTAAAACTATGATAATTAGTCGATTATACAGTTCCTCTCCCTTTCTTTCTCTCTCTCTCTCTCTCTCTCTCTCTCGAACGTACATATTTATGTATCACTTGACGAAGCGGTGAGAACACATCAAACGTTATTTCTTTCCTGCTCGTGATTTTATTGGGCTATTCGATAAAAGTTCGCACGAGCTTTTACGATAAATTCTAAGCCGGTACTCCCACGTAGTTAGACTTAACTTTATTTTCTCTTTTTTTTTTTCGATAACCTGTTATGGAAAAAACCGCCAACGTATCGTTAAATGAAGTTTGCTCAACTGTAAAAAAATGTCGGTCTTGAAGCCTTCGCTAAAACTGTACGAACTTGTCCAACGATACACAATACTGCATGTTACAAATTTGACGATTTCTGAACAATAATTGAGATATCGTTGCCGTTTTATTGAACAATCGACACGTGATGACGCGCGAAATTGTTGATACGATGTGAACGACCGAATAATCCTAGTTAGTAGTTTCCCACTGTGTCAGATGTTAAAGCTGTTACTGCGAACCGAGCACGAGTATCCGGGAACGAATTGGGATTAATGAAAAATCTCTAATGACTCCGTATCGAGTCACCCGGTCATAAGTGAGGCTCGCTCTTAAAAAAGGAACCAATGTCCATTGAAAATGAGTATTGGTTGCTATTTGCCGGATATGTGGGCGATTAATACTCTTAACAAATCTTTCCGCTGCCCAGACAAATTGTTTGCCGTCTAAACGAATTTTTGTCGCTGTCACTATATCGACAAACATTTGCTGTTCCAGCAAAATTTCTTTTCTCCGTGTGATTAAAGTTACAAGTATCAAACATATTTCTCTCGGTGTAATATCGTGTAAGAATGAAGGTAAGTGCTAAATGGGGCTAAGTTTTTAATGAACAACGACGAGTGATCGTTGCCGTTGGTAAAACACATTTTACCGATTTAACCAGAAAAATGATCATTCTCCGATTCACTTCATATCGAGAGCGTACTCACGATATTATTCCAGATCACGTGGCGCGATTCTCGCGTTGAAGAAACAGAAGAGAGCGAACGAGAGAGCCGGAGAGAGATTCCAGAAAACGCTGCGCTCCTTCCTCCCGCGTTCGGCGGCGTCCCGACGGCGTTAGTTACGGCCGGAGATAATTTTATCGTTATAACGCCGGGCATATTGTTGAGCGGGCGAGCAAGCGGCCGAGTAAGAGTGCGTAATTCCGGCCGGGAGATTAATAATGGTGCTCTGAACTTGAGGTCTGAATTTCGTGCACGTCGTCCGCGCGCGCGTCCCCCGATTAACGTCGGACCGCCGGCCGAGCGCGTGTCGTCCGCGCGCGGAAATTATGTACCGGCGGTCGTTAAAAATTTATTCAACGCCGTCGGCGACGCGACGTTCGCGGCGATGCAACGGATGCGCCCGTTCAAAGGGACGTCGTCGTTAACAATGCCTAAGCTTTGCCAGTAATCGCGCGCTGACTGCTCATTATACGAGAGACTGTTACGTCGTCTTTCGGTATACGCCCGACCGAAAAGGATGACAAAAAGCGAGGAAGAAACTGAGAGAGTAGAGGAGAGAGAGAGAGAGGGAAAGTGGACGCGCATTGCGCTGTAATACATCTCGTGTCGCGATTTACGCAACTTTCCGCGTGTTCCGCGACGCGTGAACATTAAAAGAGCAGTGAAAAAGAGAGAGGGAAGGAGAAAATGACGAAGATAAAACCAAAGCCAGGGGGGAGGCGAAATTAAGAAGACGACGTGTGTTCCGGGCGTGCTCGACGAGGGGCTTGATATTTCGCGATGGGAATCGCGGCCGGCAACGATTTTCGACGAGGCCGGCGCGCGCCGAGAGAGCTCATTTAAAAATGTAATCGTTCTACCGGTTACACGCTCGACATACGCGTATCCGATATATACATATGTACATATATATATATATATATATAAACATTTATAATACGGTTTCATGAAAATTTCAGCCGGACGCTGGGCTCATAATACCGGGAGCGGAGTAATTATGTGTATTTCGTTTATATAACCTCCGGCGGGGGTGCGCGCGGTATACGCGGAATTTAACAAAAATAATAATTTCGCCAGAGAGAGGGAGTCGCGCGCGCATATTACGCGCGCCGGCCGCGCGTTCGGCCCCGTTCTTTGACGACGCCGCCGCCATATTATATTAAATCGCCCTTTAATATTTATAACGACCATCCGCGGCGCGCCGCCTAAACTGTGACATAATAACCAGACGCAATTTTAATTAGCATTATTGCACAAGATACCCGCGTCGAGAGTGTCTCTCCTCCCCCCCCCTCTCTCTCTCTCTCTCTCTCTCTGCTTAACGAGGATGACTCGGCTCACGGGTATCGAATTATCTCTCGCAGGTGGATTAAAATCGCCGCCTCTAACGAGGTCGTGCGACGAAATAAATCTGTCTCTCGAAGATCCGCGCGCGCTGAGAAAGAAGAGGAGAGTCGCACGTGCGTGCCGAGCTGTGCGAAGCGTTCGACGTAGGGGAGAGAGAGAGAGGGGGGGGAGGGAGGAACAAGAATGATCATCATTAGGAGGCGACGGATGGGAAATAAAAAGGGGGGAGGGAGAAAAAAGGAAAGGAGGACAGGCGCGAGAAGGGCTCAAAGCGAGATATTAGTCGAGGCGAGGACGCGCGCGAAGATCAAAGGGAGGTGTAATATGCATATACGCGTAATATCTGGCGCGCTCGTTACAAGAGACGATTACTTTATCTATTCATCTTGGTAAAAATGTAGAAAATAATGAAGAGCGAGGCGGCGGTGGGTTCGGCGGACGGGCGACGCGACGCGTCGCTCTTTCCCGCGGTAAACTCTTTGACCACAAAGGATATTAGACCGCTTCCCGTCGCGGCTCTCTCCGCGGGCGAATCGTAATCTTTGATCCTGTAACGCGATATCGCGGCGAAGAGAAAATTCGCGCGGACTTTCTCGACGGTATGCGCGTCGAACGATTAAAAACGTGAACGTATGAACGTCGCGCCGAGGGAACAATAGCGGAGAGGAGAATAGTATTGGAGGATTAAATCACAAAAACCGATGAAACAATTTGCTTTTAGGCTCTAATGCTCCGTTGAAGGTGAAAATTAAGGTTTATGCGCGCGGATGCACGGAAGCAACATTGGCTTGCCAAAATATATGATAGATGTATGATAATTATGTTATATATTTCCTTAACCCGGGAATAATTACCTGGGATCATTTCATATCCCAACGGTCGGAAAATGAAACTCACGTCGCGTTTTTTTTTCTTTACCGATCGGGAACCAATGTGTGCCTTTCATTTGGACATTTAGAGATCTAACCTGTGCAACAAGAATAGGCTGTGACCCGTCTTCTTTATAACGTAAGCCTGTAAAAACACATTGGGGTGCAAATCGATCCCAGGTGAGACCGTTCAGTTATAAAGTTAGTTAAGTATAGGAAGAGTTGGGTAGGGTGAAGATAAAATAATAATAAGTTTAAATAAAGTTGTGCATACTCATACGCAATAAGCAACATTTGCAACACATCTGATACCGATAAAAAATATAGCGATACAAATCCGGAGAAATAAACAAATGTGCAATTATTAAATATCTAATGTTTATATTTATTGTTTACGATTAACATATAAAGTTAACATTAACATTTATCATAAATGAAATGAGTATCTTAAACTATATTTTTTTATTTAATGTCAAACATAAAAAATATCCATATTCTTAAAAATTTAGAATATTCTTTTGTTTAAAAATATTTATTATGTTATACATTTATATAATACAATGAAGAAATATAAAAGTAAATAATTTTTTACAATTCTGAATCAATACTGATAACTTCGTATGACGGCGATTTAACTTTTCGTGAAAACAATTGTTTATTCTATATTTAAATAAAAGAATTTAGATTTAAACGAATACATGCTATTAGTATCTATCGAATAAATATTTTTTAAACATTTTTTTTACAAATTGCGTACGTCCCGCCATACACATTACGGAAGAGGATAACTTTACATCTACTCACCTCTACAAGAGTGATGAGGATGATGAAGAGAGGTGGCGGGCAGCACGTGTAGTGATCGGCGTAATATTTTCGGTCCCGCTCTTCCGTAAGGAATTCATCGCCGATCATGCGGACCATCCTGAAAGCAGAAATGTATCGGAGAATTATCACACAGTGCACAATCGATAAGTTTATCGTCTATTCGTGAATGAAGCTTACAGCACATGCGAATAGCGCGATCGTTCGATATGATAAAAATGCGAACGGAAATCGTATTCCCCGAATTTCTTGAAGCAAAATTACGCTCGAGAGGTAAAGTGGCGATCGAATTTTTTTCATATAAATATAGCTCTTATATACAGAGGAAAAGGTTTCTTCAGACTTAGTATTTCTATTTATTTGACTAAAATTTGTTTCATAGAAACAACGCATACTTGTACAAAATGTATTATTTGTTTGAGTAAAAATTTTATCGTCTCATTTAAGAAAACTATTGTTTAACAAAAAGAACGCCATTATTTGAAATAATATCTTTTAACCGAATGAAATATTATTTGGTTACAATAAGTATGTAAAATGAAACAAATAATTTCTTTGTAAGAAAATTATCTTTCATTTCAAACAAATTCCTTTAATTAAATCATAGAACAATCGAGTGAACATAGAACATAGAACAATCATATTTTGTTAATAACAGCGATTTTTAATTGGGGTCTAAATGACCCCGGGCGATCGTTTACGTAGAAAAAAAAAATAACGTGATAGATTCCCGGTTAATTAATCAAAATATCATCCGGCCAAAGGGTCTCTCTCGTCGCGAAACGCAAAATCGCGTGTCTTGCCGAGCGCGAATTATTTCCACCGATAAATCTTGCATTTATCGGAGCACAATAATAATACGCACATCGAAGAACGGCGACTATTTTTATATATGAATATATGGAGATCAAATTTGCATGTTGTGTGCAGCCGCGAGGGCCATTTCCGTCGAATGTAATAAACAATTTTCAATTAATCGGCTCGATGCGGCGGAAAGGCATTCGTACAAACGTAATTACATATTATTAACCAACGAATGATGTTTGCCGGACAAACAAAGTCGGTCCGGCGCCGAATGTGTTTTACAAGATGAAATTCATAATGGCATTTTATTTACGCGATTCCGCCGGTAGCAGCGACTGCGGCGCGCGCCAATAAACGCGATCGAATATTTCCAATTAAACTTCCCCGTAGTATTTCATCTCGAAATGGATAGAAGAGCGGAAAATAGCCCGCGAAAGCTCGCGTGCGCGCGCAATCGAATTTTTTTGAGGACTCCGCGAATGACTTCGTTCGTGTACGTGGGGCGTCAAAAAAAAAGAAACAAGAAAGAGGCACGCAAATTGAGTGGTAAACGTGGTCATTTTCCATTATTTTCCCAAAGAGTAGTCCACACACATTCGTTCTAAATTACGCGACCCGCTGTTATCAACACCCGAAATTATTTTGTTTCTTGCGAAATGTTTTTACGAGGTAGTTGATCCGTAAATCTATTTTCTTACGAATCATTTCGAATTTCAACAGCATATTAATCGAAACGCGATCTACCGCGCAAAATTGGTGTCAAATTAGAAAATGATTCGCCATACCAAAGCCGAGATTTAATTGAAGTCAAAGTTAATTACAAATGTAATGTCAGGCAACGCTGTTTTAACGGCATAATTTTTTCATGAGTTTTTAAACATTACGTAAATTTGATTGATATTCACTCGCTATTGTGTCAAAACCGCACGGGGAAAAGGTTTGATTAAATCAACCTGACAATGAACCAGCCAAACGCGTTTTAATTAAAGGAGAGAGAATTTCTAATTCTCGTGAATCAAATTCAGTTCCTATAACCAGAAATTTTCATCACCCAAAACGCATATGATTCGTTTCATTGTCAAGTTAACTCAGCTTTATTTCTCTGTGCATATAAATCATGTTGATAATCATTTAGTACGGATTTGCCGGACTTATTCGTTCTGTATTAACCCGAGAATAGTTACTTATTTTTTTTCTTTATGTAAACAGGGATCATTTAGACCCTAATTAAAAATCGCTGTTACAATCGAGCTCTTACTATACTTGACTAATTTTATAACATGAACAGTCTCACCTGAAGTCGTTTTGTACCCCAATGTGTTTTCACAGGCTTATATTATGAATAAGACGGATCACAGCTTATTCTTGTTGCACAGGTTAGGTCTCTAAATGACCAAGCGAAGAGGGTACATATTAGTTCCCGATCGGTGAAAAAAATCGACTGCGAGGTAAGCTTCATTTTCTGACCGCTGGGATATGAAATGACTCCAGGCGACTATTCCCCGGTTAACGATAACCGTGGCCTTTCTGATATTACCGTGGATCGACCACCTTTATGGAAGCGAGAGCGATATCTGCGTTAGTGGCGTTACTGGCGACATGTTTCATTTGCACCACCACGCGAAACACAGGTAATCGGAAGGAAAAATCCGGCCTACGTGATTATCTCCCGACGTCGATAACGAGATGATTCGCGCGAGGGAAACGGGCTAAATTCAAGACCGCCAGCCCCAGCCCGACGAAAAGTGATTTGTTTGCCGCGCACGTAGAGAGCGCGGCACGCTCTCGTTAATTCGGATCTTGTATCGCCGGTCGCGAATAAGCCGGCACAATGGCGCGATCGGACAATAAAGTCGGCGTTCGCTTCGAACGTTTGCGTCTTCCCGCCGACGGCGGGGCGCTGGCGCGGATCGTCGCACTTTTCACTGCGAATCCATGCGCGTAATTTCACGATTCAGTCACTTTTTACACATTTTTACGCGTGTTCGGTTACGCATCGTATTATGATTCAACAAAAAAAGTGCGTAAAAAGTGCGACGATTCTACAAAAAAAACGTGTAAAAAGTGCGACGAAATACGTAAAATTACACACTTGGATTTGCGGTGTTGTCCACTGCGGACGTCGCGTCGCGATCTCCGTTTACCGACGAGCATGCGCGGGAGTTTTACAAATGCGCGCGTATAATCGGTAAACAAACCGCGCTCGAGTAATTGAAGGAGAAGGGGGAAAGAGTGATAAAATTTGTCCAACTTGGAGAGAGTGAAAAGAGAAAGAAAGAAAAACAAGGGAGAAGCCGGAGAAATTCGCGTCGCGCGTTTACAGCGCACAGCCAGAGAGAGAGAGAGGGAAAGAGAGAGAGAGAGTTGATAACACGATTGTGTTTAATTAATGAGAATGTAAGTGGACGGAGCTTGAGAATTTACCAGGCTCCGTCCGTGGATGGCCTCGATGGCCACGCGAAGAGCATAAGCGCAAAGAAGTTAATGAGTTCAGAAGCGGACCGGCATCGCGAAGATAAAGGGGTGTAATTGTGTTTCTCGAGAGGCGCGCAAATGGGCGAATTTGCAAACTGAAAGTAACACGGAACGACGAGAGGAGGTTCTCTCGCGGATTTGTTTCGGCGGAAAAATAATTTCCCGTCAGGCTCTGCCTCTATTTACCGTCACGCAGATGGATAAATTATAAACAAACAATTGTCAATACAGACAGACGGATAGATAGTTTTCTCGACTCTGGAAAATGAAAATCCTATCAGGCACACGATCATAATGATACAAAATACACGGAGAAAGCAAACTTTGCAGGAACGGCAAATGTTTGCCGATATAGCGACAGCAGAGAAAAATTCGTTCAGACAGCAAAAAAATTTGTTTGGGCGGCAGAAAGATTTGTTAGGAGTATCAACTGCTACCTGCTGGATATATGGACGATTAATACTCTTAACAAATCTTCCTGCTGTCCAAACGAATTTTCCTTTCCTGTCTAAACCAATTTTCCTCTGCTGTCGCTATATTGACAAACATTTGCTGTGCCAGCAAAATTTGTTCTCTCCGTGTACGACGGCTGGTAAAAGTAACGCCACAATGTGACATCAAAGAATACAAGAGAAAGAAGAGAAAGAAAGTGAGTAAAAGACAATGTAATAAACGCATATCAGAAAGCGATAAACAGAAGAGAACTATGAATACGTACCACACTGATCCCATTAATTAAAATTCGAATCATTTTCGGCCTCAGCTGTATCTCTTTTCCTAGTTTTAACTAAAAAAAATATAAAAAATAAATAAAATAAAATTATCACCACTAACACTATAGTAACGTTCGCTAGAAAAATGATTCTCCTCACTATAAATCTTTCATTTACGCGATTATAGTTGCAAGTAGCAAACCTTTTTTCTCAGCAAACAGTTAGTAAATAAAAATATCAGATAAGAAAATTATAACGAAAGGAAGCTCAACAATAGGACACGCCGGCAAACACGGAAAATTGAGAAATCGTACGGGTAAATGTGAACAGACCGATAAACAGATAGAATGCACAGAGACAACGAAAGAAACTCGTGCTAAAAATGTGAGCTAATACTTTGTAATAGTTGGGGAAAAAGAGAAAGAAAGTCTCGGGCTCTCGCAACGTGTCCCGATTTTCCCGACAGGATCAACGATATGTTTTTCCACGCGGAAAAGCGCGACGAGTGGATTTCGGCGAGTTCGCGCGCAACATCGAAACCGAATTTCAAGATAGGCGCGCTTTGTTTACGCAGTCGCGCGCCAAAGAGAATGAAAAGGACGACGCGTTTTTGTTTTTCGCGCGCCGAGACTCGAAAAAATTCGGAAATTGATACGTCGACTGTCCTCTCTGAAAGTCGGCGCTCTCCGATTAATCGCCGAGCCTCCGGCGATTTTAGCGCTTACGGGGAAACGCTCCTCGTTAATCGTCGCCAGGGGTAGCGAAATAATGAGGAATTAACTTCAACCTCCCCTCCTCTTTCGCCTCTGCTCGATCCGAGCGAAGAAAGGAAAAACACTCTCGCACAATTACGCGCGCGAGAACTCTCTGCCGAAGCCATAGCCTTCATTATCGCGGAGATTCTTTTCTCCTCATTTACGACTTTCGCGAGGAACGCGCCGGGCGCATCGCCGGGAAAATTCATCCTCCGGAACGGCGAACGGCGCGATGAAAGACGCTCTGTCTTTCTCTCTCTCTCTCTCTCTGCATACAAATGTTAGTCGTTTTCCCCCTCCCCCCGGGCCTGGTACGCTTTAATTCACGGTATTTCTTTGTAACGCTACAAGAG